TTTGTATTACTTATACACAGTTAGAGGTGTAACCGTGCAAGCACAGCTCTACTTAAAAAGCTGAATTATTTCAGCACAGTTTAAGGAGAAAAGTTGATTTCCAAAGAAAGGAATTTCTTGTGGCTTCTGGCCCCACAGTTCTAATGAAATATTTCAGTACTGGCAGCATATTCACTGCCAGCCAATACAAACTTCTTACCAAAAATAAGACCTCTGTACCCTAATAAACACAACAACACTGACAAACGTGAGCAGGGCATATACACAAATGAACGGAACGGCTCTCACAGTGGTGGGTAAGAAGTTGCATCTCTCAGATCATCCCAGGGTTCAGGGGGTTCAGGTGGGGAAAACCTCAAGGATCCAAGAGGGGGTTTTGCAAAAGGAATCCCAAGGAAAGCATTTACAAGTCTGTCTGTCCCCTTCACATTCGTTTGTATCCCTTTGAGCCGTCCAAGTGTGATAGCCACTTCTGGCTCGGCACCTTTCTGTCCTAAGTAACACATAAGGAAAAAAAAAAAAAAGTAAATCGCATCTTCATAATTATCAGGTAGACTTTTCAATGAAGCATTTTTTATTGACGGTTTGATTTAGACTATTTCAGCTTATTCCTTTCCATTTTGTTCAGTTTTCATTTTGCTTTAGTGGAATGACAGACACCCCCTGGCAAACACTCCTACAGCTGGCTCTGCCCATGACAGGGGGGGCTAGGTAATTAGTCACTGTGCGAGATCATAAAGCTTAAAAACAAATTTCAGAGCAAACAGCAACTGTCAAAATCATCAACATTTTCTAAATTTATCAGCCAACCAGATCTTAACAATTATTTTTTTTAGATAATTTGGAAATGTTTTTCCTTTCTACCGCTTAAGACAAAGTTTTATTTTCATAAAATCATCACAGAAGTGGTTTCATCTCACAAAGCCAGTAATATTTGCATCAAACTTATTAGGATATTTTTGCAGATTGCTAACAAAAGTATAAGAGATGGACTGCCTTTGAAAATCACTGCACTGAAACTTGCTAGTTGCAACAGCAATAACAACAGATTTTGCATCTCACCTTCTGCTCCACAAGTGACGAATGTTATACTACAAAATAAAGCACAAAGCAAAGCAATGTGGCTCTGAGGAGCCATTTTTCACCCCCGTTTGGACTCTAGATCATGTTCTGTTTGTATGCGGAAGAGAACGGTACAAAGGTCCCTGCTGAGGGCATTCAGAGCAGGGAGTGCAGCTAAATTCCCTTTTGAACATGCACTGCACTAAGCACTTTCAGAGCTGCACTTGACACAGAGTGTAAACACAATCCCTTAGTCTAAGGCACCTAATCGTTACCTGATCCCGAGAATGGGCAATCTGAATATGACCCAAAACCGTCTGTGAACAACAACAAAAGGTCTGATCATAGTTAATCTGCTGTTACTCCCAACAAACAGAGAGAACAGTGAAGCTCTGGAGAGGTCGCAGAGCTGTCAACATTTAAATTCTTGTAAAAAACCCACAAAACAACAAAAAGCTCACCAAAAGCCAGGATTACAGATTAGAAATAACTAGAAAGTAGCATTAAAAAAGAAAAAAAAAACCAAAATAGTTAATTCTTCTACAAGTTTTAGTGGGGGCTAGCACACCTGTACCTTAATCAACATTTTATGCGCTTTCCAGCAGGGTCTCCAGCCTCTAAAATAGTTTTGGAATTTGGTGTAAATTCCCACCATTCATTTGGGAAATTAGCCGTTCATTTGGGAAATGGGCTCGTTAGACAAAGTCAGCTCTTCTTTGACAAAAAAGGGTGGCAAATGAGATAGGTAACACAAGATTTTCAGTGCAAGAGAATGCAGAGCTACTTACTACTTCTTATACAGTTCCTGGGTCTCTGGGTTGCGGTAGCTTTGGAAAGTGTGCCAATTTCTCATTAATTTCACCTAGAACTGTGCAAATACACATGGTAGAACATAACATAATATAACAAACATAACATAACAAACATAACATAACATAACCCCACTAAGAGTAGGTCAGCTTTGGTTTTCCTGAACAGCCAGAAAAATTATGCTTGCCAACAAAATTTATCATCCAAAACAACATACACTAATTGAAAGACCAACTTAAGATAACAGAGGATTAGATTAAGAAGGGAACTTTAAAGTCAATGTAATCTATATATTAACTGAATATAATACAAACCAAAGCTGAAAGCAGAGGTAAAGGGGAACTTTGCTCACAGGTAGCTTGCTTGCCTTATTTAAAATCTCAGCAGCTGTGCAGGCCCCTCAGTGACCTTCGGAAGAGGCCCCATGGGGACAGACCCCAGCTGGGCAAACTCCCTGCCATCTGGAGCACACCTGAGGCAACCACCATTTCTGCCAGGCGGGGCTGAGCAACAGAACACAAATATACATCTTTTCTTCCAGTTGTAACGTCTTCTGAGGCAGCAAGTCTCAGCTCCTTCCCAATCCTCCTTCCCTCCCGTCAGCCGCCGGGGAAATGGCCGCCCCCCGCCTGGGGAGCTCCTTCACCTCTCCTCACCTGTGGCAGGCAAAAAACAAACCCTATACAGGTCATTTTTTGGGGAGAGAAATCAAACATATGGCAAGAAAGCTAAAACAGATAACATATAGTATGTTTACACAGGAGTACGTGCTTTCACCCCATTAAAAAGGGCTGTAGGAAGCCAAAATATGTTGTTATTACACTCTGTCACTTCAGTTTCTGTACGTTTGCAGGGTTTTTTAGCTAGTTTGACTTTTCCATTTAATTAAAAGAGGAAATAAATCATTTCCATGGCGAGTATTTTGCATTTAACACTCAATTCACTGTCCCCACCCCCGAGCTCCAGAGGCCCCTCACAGACACCGCCCCCTCAGGGCCGCCCTCCGCCCGCAGTTCTGCTCCGTCCCCACCGGAGGGCGCTCCCGCCACGGGGAAGCGGGGACCGACCGCCCCTGCAGCTCCCGGTGCGGCGGCGAACAGCGTCCGGGCTCCTTCCTGCCGGGCGGCGGCGGAGGAGGCGGCGGGGAGCGGCCGCCATGGTGGGCCCGGGGCCGGGCGGCGGGGCGCCGCTGGAGAACGCCAACCCCCTCATCTACCGCCGCTCGGGGGAGCGACCCGTGACGGCGCGGGAGGAGGACGACGAGCTGCCCGACTCCATCGACGACCGGGAGATCTTCGATATCCTGCCGGGAGCGGGGGGGACCGGGCCGGGCTGGGCCGGGGGGTGCGGGAGCGGGCCTTGGGGGTGTGCGGGGCCGCTTTCCTTAACCCGGCACATCTCATCCGCTCCATTAACGACCCCGAGCACCCCCTCACCCTGGAGGAGCTGAACGTCGTGGAGCAAATGCGGGTGAAGGTGAGACCGGGACCGGGCCGGGCTGCGGGACGCGCCCGCCAACCGCGGGGCAGCGCTACCGCTCATTAACTTAATTATTTCCTCACAGCAGCCTGCCGCAGCTAAACGTAGTACTTAATAAAACATGCCCGGGGAGAAATCTGGAAGCGGCGAAGCGCTGGGTCGGGTTGGGTGTGACGTTAAACGCCGCCTGCTGGTTTGGGGTAAAAGCGGTGGGTTTTGGGTCCAGCGGCAGTGTGTTTTCCCGCAGGTGAATGACGCGGAGAGCACGGTGGCGGTGGAGTTCACCCCCACCATCCCGCACTGCAGCATGGCCACCCTCATCGGGCTCTCCATCAAGGTCAAGCTGCTCAGGTCCCTGCCCGAGAGGTTCAAGGTGGGTCCGGGGAGCGGGAGGGGGCCCCGGAAAATGGGGGGGGGGGGAAGAAAAGCTAATGAACTTACAGCGAAAAACAACCAGTATTTTCATGTTACGGGTGGGGGAAGCCCCCCAGGAAGCAGAGGGAGCCCAAAGGAGGCTTCAGCAGGTGGGAATACACGATATTCTGTGATTTTACACTCTATTTTACTCTGCTGTTGTACAGTAACTAGTATTGGCAAGAATATCCCTTTTTCACTCTTTTTGTTATTGTCTTATTCAAGTTGAGCTTCCCATGTTGTGTTGACTTGTCCCCTTTTTCTTTTGCGGTGCCTTTTAC